TACTGTAAGCCCTTTCAGCCTTGCAGCTGTCCCAAAGAAAAGGTATCATAATTCCTTTTCACCTTGTAAGCCAAATTTCAGGGGTATTTTTTTAAGAAGAGCTCAATTTTGTGTTCTCAAAATTTAATCTAATGTCAGTACAGAAAGCTAAAATTCATGTGGCAGTGTTATTTCAAGTACTGACTCTCACTTCATACATCACTATTCATGTTTAACTCCACACCTTAACATTCGTGTCATCCATCCTTCCTCTCAGTTTCAAGAAACAACATACATTCAATGACAGGAGATTTAATGCCATGCACAGTAATAACCAAGATGAAATCTTGTTGCAGAAGCATCATTCACATCATGTGAGAAGCTTTTCAAAGTGCTTATATTGGGGGATCAATCAGTTGGCAAGACATCCTACGTACAGCGTTATGTTGGGAACACTTTTGCAAAAGACTACAAAGAAACAGTGGGTGTGGATTTTGCAGTGAAGGTTCTAAAATTATTAGACGCAACTGTAGCATTACAGTTGTGGGACATTGCTGGTGAGGAATATGAAGAACAATGTGAAAAAAGATAAATATAAAGCTGGTTTGTTTTGTGTATTTCTTTCTCATATTATGCAGTCTTTTATTTAATTTCTTCCTTGAATATTACTTTTGTCATTTCTCATATGCAGATAAAGTTAACTTCATTACTAACTACAGCATGATTCAGAATAGTTCACTCACTACAGTGACAGGTTCAAGCTGAACCATAGTTTTATCCTGACAGGGGCAGAGATTTCTGTGTTTAGACTGGCTCTCAGGACAATGGCTATCATGAGTGAAGTCCTAATGAAGGACTGAGGATGTGGTATCTTTCTGGATGGGTGGGCTTATCAAGACATCCTGCATGGACTGCCCAGGGATTAAACCCAGGCTTTTATAGTTACAAACCATTATTGAAGAACCTGAACAATGTCATGGTTGTGTAAATTATGCTCTCCATTATCCAAGCTATTGGATAGAAGAGGAAGCATCATTAAAAATAATTTATAATCCAGAATTATCTTTTTGAAACTCGCACACACAGGGAGCATTATAACTGTAATTTTAGATATTGAAGTACAGTAGCATCACAGACAAACATCATGGGACAAGTGAAGATCTAAGTACAATGAATCTCACACAAACAAGTTTTTTCATGGTACTATAAAGGTTGAAAGAAAATTCAAAAGTCATTATTTCTGCTACACAAATCTGCATAAAAGTTTTGTTTCATTACACAGGTCAAGAAATATTTACATGGATGACACGTATATACTGCAAGAACTCGCATGGCTGTGTGATCATGTTTGACTTGTCAAACAGAAGTACATTAAATAATGCAATCAGATGTAAGAAAGAAGTTGTTGACTCAAACTGTACTGCACCAGAAGGGAAAAAATTTCCTTGCATCTTAATTGCAAATAAGGTTTGTTATAAGAAATGAACATACTGAATGTGTTATTGAAAACATATTCATTTGTTATGCACAGCATCATGCCTGCTTGATGAGCTAGTAATTCTTTACACAGTAGCATGATCTGTGAGGTACATTCCACACGAAATATCTTCCTCTTTTAAGTTATTTAACATATTTTTCTATTAGTGTATATACCTGTTTTTAATTTTTTTCTATCAAATTAAATCTATATTCTATCATAAATAAAACTGAAATAAGGAAATATGTCCTTTTTGGATGAAATGTGTCCATGTTTTTGCCTGCAGTGTGACATACTGGACAGTGAAAAAGAAGTTACTCAAGCAGAAATTGAACAGATCTACAGAGAGCATGAATTCTCTGGCTGGACAAAAACTTCAGTGAAAAATGGATTCATGGTGAATGAATCCTTAAGGTCAGTGTTGATACTAGTATTTAGTTAGTTTTCTGTGTTTACACATGTCCGTTGGACATTAAAATCAAAATCCCACAGTTTTACTGTGTCCTTAATTATACAAGGGCAGCAACAGCTCTCTCTGACATGTAACAAACAAATGCATGTGCTATCAAACTGTGTAATACTTTATACTGCATGATTTGTGTAAACAAAACCACTTTCCACATACCCACATTACTGTAATTGACTGTAACATGGAAGTGGTGCTACATATATTCAGAATTGTTTTCATACTCTACTACAAGAGTGATTTTTTTTATATATTTGGCAGGTATCTTACCACTCTCATGCTTCAAGGAGGGGATTCTATTGAGCCATCTGAGAATATCACACTCACTGTCCCTGAAAGTTCCACAAGGAAATGTTATTAACAAATTACATCTTGCTTCTGGATATCACATATTTAAGTGAGCAATTAGAATAACTTGTTTTGTGAAATTATGTTCTGGTAAAAATATTTAACTGCATATTCAGCCAGTACCCAACAAGAGGAATTAACCCTTTTCATGTTTATCTTAATTTATAATTGCCACTGATGCAAATCACAATAGTTCACTTCAAATACCAAAAGATGGTTAGAAAACTTACGTACACTTATATTTTGATGTATTCAAGATATTCGGAACAGAAGTATAAACAAGATATCTTCTCCGAGGCATGGAAAAGATTAACATAAAGCCCCAAATTGTTAATAATAAATCATATTGTAATTCTGAAAGTATGTTATTCTTAAAGGCAGAATTTGTGTTGTAACTTATTACTTTAATTTGAAAAGAATGTATTAATAAAATCAGCAATATTGAACAACTTGGTCATTCATATTTCTTACACAACATTACTAAGTGCACTTCACTAAATTTTAACCTAATTCCCTACTCAGTTGAGGAAAGGATCTAGGACTCAAATCCACATCACTTAAAAATAACTTTTAAATAATATGCTATGTAGTAAGTAAAATTACCTAACATAAGTTTATCTTTATTCAAAAAGAAAAATGAGAAAGCTCGATTACTTCCTTTTTTAAATATTCCATGACTCACATACTGCTCCATTTTCCTTCTAATATTTGATTTTCTACAACTGAAATCATATTAATGGCCATGGTATTTTCTTTCCTGAAAAAATTAGGGACCCTAAATGAACGTCCCAGTCTAGTGGTTAGCAT